TTAGGTGCCAAGGACTTTCCTCAGTATCCTTGCTGTTCCTAGGATACAAGATTGTTGAAACTTTCCAATTAGTTCATGCATCTCTAACTTCTTCAACCATTCTGGCATGTCACGATGGATGGTTCCGAGGGCTCCAATCACCACTGGTATGATGTCGACTTGTTTACATTTCCATATTCTCTTGATTTCTCTCTTTAGATCTTGATATCTTTCGACTTTTTCCTTCATCTTGTTTTCCACCCTGGTGTCAAATGGGCATGCTACATCATTAATTTGACATGACTGCTGCTGTTTGTCATAAAACACGAGATCTGGCCGATTATGTTCAAGCTGGTGGTCTGTTTGTGCCTTAAAGTCCCACAGGATCTTGTACCTTTCTGTTTCTATCACTCCCTCCGGTTCGTGATCGCACCACTTATCAGCTCTCTTTACATCAACTCTTCCACAAAACTCCTAATTAATTATCTGTGCAACCTTATCATGTCTCCAGTTCTTGTACTGTTTTTGAGCTAGTGCACTACATTCGGTGATGATATGACTGATGGTTTCGTCTCTGTCTCCGCACAATCTGCACTTTGGGGAGATATCAGCTTTATCGATTTGTTCTTAGGGCTTGATCTTGTGCAGACATTATTAGTCCTTCAGTTTCTTTCTTTATGATTCCTTTCTTCAACCAATCCCACGTAAGTTCGTGTCTTCCGTCTTCAGTATCTATGATGAATTTCCCACGGAGTTCCTTTGCTTTATATCTTTCATATTTCTCTTCCATGATGTTATCAGCATTCGGTCTTTGTTCTTTCAGGAATTGTTCTTTCACTACAGATTTCAACATTGTTTCTGTTGACTTCTCTAGATATTTACTCAAACTTTGGACTTCGATGGCAATACAGTCTTCAACTCCTATCAATCCCCTTCCTCTTTTAGATCTTTTTACATCTTCAATATCTCTGATGACTTTCCCATGGAGTTCCTTTGCTGCCTCATAGATCAACTCAACAGCTCGAACAAGTAAGCGATTGTGTGTGTGTGTGTATATATATACATAGACAGCTTGTGGATGAAGACATCGGTTTATAGTCAGCAACTTTCTGGTCTTCGTGTACATTTTTCCTATCTCCTCCTTTGTCCACTTAACAATTCCTGCGCTATATCGCACGACCGCAAATGCTCTTGAATTTATTGCTTTTATGATGTTTCCTCCATTGAGTTTGGACTTCAAGATCTTCCTGATTCGCCTCAAGTATTCGTTCTTGATGTTCTTTTTTCATTTCTTCGCTCATGATATCATCTGATTCTAACACTCCTAAGTATTTGTACGAGTCCCCCTCACCTAATGACTTAATTTCTTCTTGATTGGGAAGACGTACTCCCTCGCTCTGCGTGATCTTTCCTTTCTTCATTATTAATACTGCACATTTACTTATGCCGAATTCCATTTTGATATCGTATGTGAACTCATTAACAGTTTGAACTAATGAGTCAAGTTGTTTCTCATTTTTTTCCATATAACTTTAAGTCATCCATGAAAAGTAGGTGATTAATTTTGACATCATTTTTTTCCAAGTTCGTATCCTTCCTTCATCTTGTTTAATAATAACGTTAAAGGTATGAGGGCAAGTACAAATAGCAACGGAGATAGCCTGTCACCTTGAAAAATTTCCTTTCTGATGTTAACTTCCCCAAGGGTTTTGCTTGCGGAGGTAAGTTCTGTATTCCATTCCTTCATACTTCTTGAGATTAGATGTTTCATGTTACTTGCTACCCCGAACAACTCCATACATTCCACTAGCCACGAGTGTGGTATCATATCAAAGGCTTTCTTGTAGTCTATCCAAGCCATTCCTAAACTTGTTCCTCTTCTTTTGCAGTTTCTGATTATCATCTTATCAATTAACAGTTGGTCTTTTGTTCCTCTTGATCTCTTCCGGCATTCTTTCTGTTCATCTGGTAATAATTCATTCTCTTCTAGGTGCTTGTACATCTCCTCTGATAACACATCAGTTAGCAACTTCCACATCAGAGGCAAGCAGGTGACTGGTCTGAAGTTCTTGACATCTCTGCCCTTTTCTTTATCCTTCATAATGAGGACAGTTCTTCCTTTTGTCATCCATTTCGGCACTTCTCTTTCACCTAAGCATTCATTCAATTGTTGGCAGATTCTCTCTCGTAGGGATGTGAAGTTCTTCAACCAAAAACCTTGCAGCCCGTGCGGCCCAGGAGCTTTCCAGTTCGGCATCTTTCTCATTTGGTTGTCTAGCATCTTCTTGTTAATGACTATATCTGCTTGTTTCGGCTTGTTGGTGTATTCATCTTTGAGGTCTTGTAACCATTCAGCTTCGGTGTTACGCTTCGTACTTTTCCCCCAGATGTTATTCCAAAATTTCCTGCTCTCCTCTGCATCGGGTACTACCGTTTCATTACTGATGTTCCCTTCTAATTCTTCAAATAGTCCTTTCTGATTTGACTGGAACATTCTGTTCTGTCGATACTGATTGATTCG